TGTAATTGATATTGTGGGTGATAATGCGAATGATAAGAAACACATTAAAAAAAGTTAAAGGAAATCAAAAGTCTGGGATTACTTTGAAGAAAAAGCAAACAATATTATCGCAAAGTAATTATCAATCCTCAAACAGAAATCAAATGTGGCGCAAAATATGCTAATTCTGACATCACATCAACTTCAACATTAAATTATCATTTTAAAGCATTGTCATCAAATTTTTGTTAATCTTGAAGCATGTGTAGATTTTGCATTATTTGTTTAATAAATGTATTTATTTATCATAATTCAAATTTTTTTAGAAAATCGATTTAAAACAACCAAGATTAGCAGATGTGTTTGAAAAAACCAAAGAACATCCACAACACAAGATGAATGAATTACATCTTGCTGTGGCCGAATGGGTTGTATTAGACTCTTTACCTTTTAATATGCTACACAGGAAGGTTTTTAAAGATTTATCAAGAAAATAGATCCTAAATTTCGTGTACCAAATAATAAAACAAAAATATTATTTCAGTCAAATATCTTTCAATACCTACAATGTCTGTGCCATCTGAAAGACTTTTTAACGATGCTGGTAATCAAATAACTGCAAAAAGGACTAGATTAAGTTCTGAAATTGTTAACAAAATTTTATTTTTAAAAAGAAATGATTTTTATTGTAAAAATAAAATAAAATTTATGAAAATTTTATAATAGTTATTTTACTTTAACTAAATATGGCAATGGTGGTTTTGTTCGTAAAGAATTTTTAAACGGTGCCAATCTCTACATCAAATAAGCAAATAATTCCGAAAAAAATTTTTGATTAATATTATTAATGATGTGATGAAATAGATCCCTTTTCCTTCACAGAAGTTAATTTTTGTATCAAAAGTGCTGCTTTTGCCAAATACTAACTAATACTAAAAGTTATATTACCGTTATAAGTAAATTTTTTTGTAAAAGGCTAATCCTAACATTCATTTTTTATAACGTTACAAGCAAGTAACCATTTTATTGATTTTTGTATATTGCCACGTTTGACACTATTTAGATGCGCACTAACCACCTTATAAGTAAGTTAATTTTTGTATATAGCCACATTAACAGGAGTAACCACCTTATAAGTAGGTTAATTTTTGTATATATATAGCCACGTTTGACACTAGTCGGCTATGCATCAACAGGAATAACCACCTTATAAGTAAGTTATCCCTTTTCCCTTACGAAAGTTAATTTTTGTATCAAAAGTGCTGTTTTGCCAAATACTAAAGTTATATGTTTTGCACTCTTCGATGCTGGTCATCATTTTTCCTTTACAGGTAAGTAGTTAGCTATTTTTTCTAAATTTTTTAAAGAGGTGGCTGGCTACTTTTGACGCTAGTTGTCAAGTATAAATAAATAATTTAACTATAAAAGCCCAAGTTATCTATCTGTTTTCTACTTCTATATTTAAAAACGAGTTGAACTTATCTATCTATCCTATCTACACTATCTATCCTGTCTATAAGTACTATATATAAAAAAATTTTTCGCTTCGAAGAACAAAGAATCCTGCTTTATTTGAAAAACCGAAAAATTTGAATATATTTGTAGTCCATGATAGATATTTGTTTTATGATTATAATCAACCTATAAATCCGGGAGAACTACCACTACGACGAAAGAAAGGTCAAAGTAAGTCAATAATGGCAAGTGGTTTCTTTCAGAAACATTTAGTAGACTCAAGTTATCAGAAAATCAAAATTTGCCGAGAGAATTTATCAATCAGATGTTTCGTGAAACATCGACTTTTTTTTATCAACAAATACTAATACAAAGTTACACCAATTTAATTCCGACAAAAATTTCTCGAAAAAAAATATAATATGACAATAATGAAAATATGAAAATAAAAAATGAATTTAAACGTTGTTATCGACTAGGTTTGGATGGACCATATATTTTATTGTTGGATTTTCGATCACGTTATCTTGCATTTGTTCATCTTCGTCATCTTCTAGTATTGGGATTTTAATAATCCAATTTTCCTTAAAAATAAATAAAACATCAATAATTAATAATATAATATAAATATATTGTAAGGAGGTGTAAAAGCCTACTTTTTCCATTTTTTGAATAAAACATTTGATTTTTTTTTCTTCCAATGCTATTCCTTCCGCGGAATTAATTGCCGCTTTCTCTTGTCGATACTCTAAATACCATTGAGATAAATCTTGTTCTGTACAAGCTGTTTGAAAATAATAACAATAATAAATAAATAATAATTATAATGATAATCAAAACTGCGTATCTTTGCGATTATCATATCTCGGGTTTGTGTGTATTCTCTATGTGAAACACTCAACTGTCTTCTTGTAACAACAGAAGATGATGATTCACCTCTTGATATCATCAATTCATCATTGTTAGTAGTGTCTACATCTAAATCCATGACGCTATCATTTTGAGTTGACATTATAGTTCTTTGCGTGTTATCAATATCATCTGTTTCAAAGTATTCCAAAACCAAATCATCATGATAAATATGAATTATGGATTCTTTAAGTAGATTATAAGCTTCATCCACATATTCAGGTGATATCTAAATAAGCATATATATATTACGTCGTGAATGTGGGTGATTTAATAATTACTATTATAAATAATAAATTACCTCTTGAGCACAATGAGCTTTTGCAATAGCTTCAGATAAACGGATCATACTTTCCAATTGGCGAACAGTGATACGATATGAATTTTGATTTACACCTGAAGCATCATCAGTTCTCAATTCTTTATATCTTTTAACGAGTAATTTTCCTGCTTCATGTGAAATCTGAGGCTTTAATCCTTTTGCATATTATATATTGTTGTAGTTGGGTAGTGGTAAAACATGGATTAATAGCATCATCACCGTATCGATGTGTTTTTATAATATGATTTGCTATCATATTATCTACATTTGGTTTACACTCATCGATCACCACAAAAAACAGATCGAATCGCGACATAATAGGAGCCGACATTGCAATATTTTGCTATAAATATATATTTAATTATTATTAATAGAAAAAAAATATGTAGAATGATATTGTGAATATAAAATAATCACTCTTAATGTTAATCTCCTATTATAGCGACCACCAATTGGATTTGCAGCTGCTAATATTGAAGTACGAGCATTCAATGATGCATGAATACCAGCTTTCGCAATTGAAATAGTTTGCTGTTCCATAGCTTCATGAATAGCTACTTGATCAGATATATCCATTTTATCAAATTCATCGATTGCGCAAATACCCTAAATCGATTATATAAATTAAATTTTGAATTAAAAAATGCCATTCATTACTAATAAATTGGCAACCAATAAACAAACTAAATAAATAAATTACTAACATTATCAGCCAACATTAATGCACCAGCTTCTATAGTAAAATCACCTGATTCTTCATCTTTTACAACAGCTGCTGTTAAGCCAGCCGCTGTAGATGATTTACCTGATGTGTAAACAGATCGTGGACTCATTGTTTGGGCATATCTTTACAAGAAAGAAGAAAATAAACAGAAGATTTTTTTTTAAATCGTGAAACGTTAAACTACAATATAATCTTTCTATATACTCACTTGAGAAATTGACTTTTACTAGTGCTAGGATCACCAACAATACAAATGTTTATATCTCCACGAAGATTAATGCCCTCTGGAGTTACCTTATGAACACCACCTAATAATTGAAGTAAAATTCCTTTCTTTATAATTTCATGACCTATGCAAATAAATTATAATAGATATCAAGTTTAGTTAAATGTTTACACCCTATATATGTGTGTATATATATATAATAATAAAGCAATAAACAAACCAAATACTGTCGGAGCAATACTTTGAACTAGTTTATTAACAATATCACTATCTTTGCCCATTGTTTCCAATTGTGACATTTCATCTGCAGTAAAAATCTCAGTGATACCTCTAGACTCTTCTTCAATTATGTCATTATCAACTTTTCCCAAAATAAAATTGTCAAACTTTTAGGTAGAAAAAAAGTGAGAAAATAAATTTATAATATTTAAAAGAATAATCTATCCATTAAATTCGTTAATAAAGGAGTCTTTTAGATAATAATCTACCTTTGCATCAAATAAATATACATTACAAGCTAAAAACGATATTTTATAAGATAAGTCTCTAGCGCCAAGCGCTTTTATACCAGTAACACCTTCGCTAGCAATACCATCAAACATCTTTGAATGAACATTATGATTGTTACGTTCAATCTCTGTTCCAGAACCTATTTAATAAATAAAAAGGTATTGATTATTATTATATCAATAATTAATAATAATTTAGAAATAATATATCTATGATTTTTTACCTGGAACACCAAGTTGATTAATATCTGGGATTGCTAATGGAGTTCCAACAAATACACACTTATTACCAGGTTTTGCTCGATCAACCATTTCGCCTCGAACGATTATTTCAATACTTTTAAAATTTATAAAGAACAATAATTAATTAATAATCTTTCTTTATGATAAACGGTAGACGATACATATAAAAAAAAAAGAAACTTACGTTCTAGGCATACTACCAGTGGGTATTTCATTTGGATTTTCTTGAATACGGATTCGTTGCCAATCAGTAAAGTCAGATTTATCAATGTTAAGTATCCATTTGTTTCTGTTGGAACAAGTTGGTGTTTTACATAGTGAAGGCTTTTTTAAATATAAATATATATTAATAAACAAAAATCATTATATCAATAATAATAATCGATTTGTGATTGTTTTTTCACCTCTGTATAGCGAAACTGTTGTTCTACATTCGTTACTTCAGTTTTGCATTCAGGACAAGTAAAATTTCCGAAAAGTAGTTCAGGACGAACTTCACTTGTTCTGGTAACAGTACCACAGATAGCAATCAGTGTTCCAATTTCAAGAGATTTTATTTCTCTGATACGATTTATCAAAAGAGGGTTATAAAACGCCACTGAATATTTCAGTGAAAATGATTTTTCCAATGTATCCAATTCATTAGTTACAGACTGATTATTATTTTGTTGAGTATTCGATATTGTATTATCAAGTTCTGTTATAGCTGGCAGTGGTGCAGTTTCCATAATATTGGTATCATCATCTTGAGCATTAATATTATTGATAATGTCATTATTGCCATTGTTATTGTTGGGCTGCATTGATTCTTTAGGATAATGAAAATCCATGAGAATCTCAACAGATTTACGAAGATATGGCTCAATTCTTATGAGTAAATAATATATGAATAAAATAAGTATAAATATATAAATACATGAATAAATAAATAATTAATTAATTGTGATTTTTTACCGATAATATTGTTTAGAGATTCCTAAGCCCAATGACGAATTATAGCTATAAAGTTCTTTAAAATCCACATATAAAGTATTGCTGCCAGATATTCTCAAATTTAAAAGTTGCTTCATATACGATTCATGACTAGAAATTTCCCATAAAATAAATAATAAATAATAAATAAATTGATGCAAAATATATTAATGTATACTGTATTTTTTTTCTTTTGAGTGAATGGAAAAAATATATACTCACTCCTCAATAAAATCTACGAACATCAGACCGAATTGGACAGCAAAGTTATCTCTGGATTTTTGGATTCCATCAATAATTTTTCTTTGTCTAGGAACTCTTTTTCTTCCAACGTCTTCTTCTGCCTCTCCGTAATTATTATATTCCATATTTATTTATTTCAAAGATAACAAATAATATAATTCACAAAAAGTATAATAATAATATTTAAAAGATGATGGCAAAAAATTTTTTGAATGTTAGACGCGTCATGAGCAATATTACTATATTTAGACAGTACGTTCCGCAGGCGGCCAAAATCACGTAAATCTAAATCATGTAAATTCTTTCTTGGTAATTCGCATATATTGGATGAGGTTCCAACTAGAAGTGCTCAGTGCAAAATGGTAGAGAATTTATATTCACTGGACAAAAGCATTATATATATATATATATACACATACAAGAAAGAAGTATAAATTCAAAAAAATTATATTTATTATTAAAAAAAATTCCATTGAAACAATATTAATAATATGAAGACTAGCTTTCCATCCATTTATAAGATCCCATCAAAAGATATTGTTTTGGAAACCGCCCAGGACATGGTGAAAGAATTGTCATTTTTTGTTTGATAGTGTCGACTTCAGAACTAAAAATAATTTTATTATTAATGTTATAACTTTTAAGGAGTAAAATAATAATAATACATACACATATATGAACCCAATGATGCTTGATTCAAGAATTTCAATTTCATCAGAAGAATTGGATGCAGTAATGGCCAGAATTGAATGTCGTAAAGTATCGTCCGGTTCGACCTTTACTAATTGAGTTTCACTAACTCTTCTATCAAATCCGATCGGAAGGGCAGAAGGTGGAGCAAGTGAACCTATT